GGGGGCGCGGGAGACTTGAAAAGGCGGGTCGGGCACCCGCCTTTTCCCTCCTCCCGCCTCCCTCTCCAACCTCCTCCCTCCACCCCGCTCCCCCTCTCTCATCTTCTCCTCTCCCCTCCTTCTTCTCTTTTGCCTCTTCTCCCGCGCTCCTCCTCCCCATCCAAGGCCTCCTACTTCCCTCCCCCTCCTCATTCCCAACCCCTCTTCTCCCGAAAGTGCCCCTCTCCTGCCCCCTGGCTCCGCGCAACCCTTTCCCTCCTCTTCCCCAGCTGCCCACTCCTGGGAGCTTCCTTCTGCCCTTGGCCCCGCCTGAAAGGGGGGAAATGTGCCCTTCATCCCCCGCCTCCACTGCGGGCAGCTTGGGACCCTTTCTGTTCCCTCAACAAGGGTGGGCGCACCACCTGTGAAAGGTGCTCCAAAGGGGGGGGGCGGGGGCTGGGAGTCTCAAGTGGGTCTGAGAAAAGTTGGGTTGCAAAGAAAAGTGTGTGTGTGTGTGTGTGTGTGTGAGAGAGAGAGAGAGAGAGAGAGAGAGAGAGAGAGAGAGAGAGAAAGAAGAAGAAGAAGAAGAAGAAGAAGAAGAAGAAGAAGAAGAAGAAGAAGAAGAAGAAGAAGAAGAAGAAAGAGGAGGAGGAGGAGGAGGAGGAGGGGGGGGGAGGAGGAGGAGGAGGAGGAGGAGATTAAAGAGAAGAGTTGAGTCCTGGACAGTTGCTCAGGGTGAGGATGCCGCAGTGCCTGGCTCCCTCAGTAGGGCAGCGCTTGTTTTAACTGAAAATCCCCGTCACAGGTTAGTGCCTGGGCTCCCGCGAGCAGGGAGTCCTGTCACAGGTCCCAGCCTGTGAAGGGAATGGTGTAGGCAGCAGGAGCCCTTTCTGTTTCCCTCCCCCTTCCAGAGGCAGAGGACTTGTTGAAACAGGGGAGAAATCTCAGAGAGACTCCCTGTCAGTCCCCCGGAAAGTGCACCCAGGCCCCTTCTGCGAGTAGTCCTCTCTTCCGGGCCAACTCTGGATTTTTATTTACCTTCTGTGGGGTCTAGGGGTGTGTTCAATTTTGCATTGGCTCTTAAGTCCCAAAGGCAGAAAGGACTTCCACTCTCTTCCTTCCCCAGGGCACGGGAAAGCTGCTGCAAACGGGGCTCTCCTGTTGGGCTGAAGTGCCTGGGACTGATTTATCTGGAGGTCTCTCCCTTGAAGGTCCCCAGCTATTCTAGGACTCCCAGGAGCAGGTTTGTTCAGTCTCCTGGGCAGATGTCACCTCCTCCTCACACCAAGGCGAGGCCATGGGACCAGATGGAATCAAGAGAACACTTCTTGACTCAACTGTGCTGGTGTTTTCATAAATAAAGCACTTAAAAAAGAATGCCTGACTTTCTAAGAGACTGCTCTGCCCCTTAGAACTATGTAATAATTAAACCCCTTATGCTTTAGAGTATCAAAACTAGTCGGACCTTAACATCAGTGTGAAACATAGTAAAATAGATGCAAAAGTTTCCACTTTTACTTTACTTTTCTTTCTTTTTTATTTTCCTGAGAAAGCCATGGGTCTTTTGATGTGATGGAGCTGATACTGTTTGATGTGCTTTAATTTTTACCACCATCATTATCACCTTTCCATCTTTAATATGAAGGATCATAACTCATACCACCTGCCTAGCTCACAAGGATGCTGTGAGGATTGAAGTGCTAGTGTTTGCAAATCTTGAAGATGAAAGACTCCCTGCCTGTGAAAAAAGGGAAGATTGTCATCATAATGCCTGTGAGCAGGAGCACTACTTTGAATTGGCCTTGCTCTGCAGGCATCTCTCTGGGTCAGCTTTGTCCCTTATGGCTTCATGGTCTCTCTTGCTTGTATCTGTTACTGGGTTTGGGTAGCAGGTGATGACTTGTGGGTTTGAATGTTGCCCAAGGGTCAGTCAAGTTTAAAGCAGGAACTTGATTTCCTCAAGAGTGTTGGGCAGTTGAAAATGATGTAAACAGCATCTTCGGCTGCTTAAGCAGAACATGAGCCTTGTCACCAAGCACACAGCGAGGCAGTGTCTGACTTTTCTAGGTCTTTTAGTCACTTGATGCCTTTAGTCTATCAGGGAATATTTGAAAGACGCAAACAACAGAAGGGAGTGTTAGGGATGATGTGTTTATGTATAAGCAACGGGGTTGATAGTGATTAAAAAATGTTAAGGTCGTTTATCACGTGTCAGCAACAATTGGATAATACATTTACTTAAATAATTATTTGATCCTGTTACTTAAAAAAGAAGAAGAGGGAAACCAGCAGGCCAGCCATAATTTGTGTCATCTTGACAGTCAAGATGATTCAATTTTTGTTTCTCCAACTGGTTTCACTGGTGTGATATAAACATAGCCAGGCTGAAGTCACCAGTTTGCGATTCGTTTTGCCAGTTTATTTTCCACATGTAGTGGCGTCACAGATTTAAGTTCTCGACCTTCAACATAGCATCTTGCCGGAGGTGCTGCTCCCAGATATGTTCTCATCGCCTTCTGCTTGTCTACAAGGCGCAGACTATAGCTCTAGGGTTCCCTTTCTACGTTATTTTCACTTTCACTGTTAGTGTACTCACTTCTGGAGGAGAATGATGGAAAAAATACAGTCTACATTTGTCTTAGAGTGAGTATATGTGGCTATATGCTTAGAGTAATTGGGAGGAAGGCATTTCCAGGAAGGTGTTATGAGCTCCACCTGAAACCAGCACAGAGAATTTTCCCAGCCCCATGTAAGGGCCAAGCCTTGAAGCAGGAGTTTGTGTAGCCAGGCCCTGATTATCCAGGCCCTGGTTATAGCATGAGAGTCCCCGGCCAGGGCAGCTGGACAGAATTCCCGAGCAGCATCAATAAGTACGAATATTCGGCGCTGCTCATAAGTAACTTCTGTCACGTGGATGGGAAAGAAAAAACTCAAAGGGGCCGAGTTCTCAGCCGCGCAGCACACCACAGGCTCACTTGGAGCTCCCACGGTCGTTCAGTGACCAGTCACAAGGCCTCTCACATGTTCACCAAGTGGTCTTTTCCCATAAGCGCTGCTGATCCTAACTAAGAGCCTCTATAATGGGCTCAGTCTTTGAGTCAGAACCGACTCTTTGCTCTTCCACAGTCATTCTGAATCACGAGCACATTTTCCTGGGATATCTGCGCTGGGCACAGAGCTTGAGTGATGAACTCGGCTTGATTTTCTTAGGAGGGTGTCTCGATTTTTAGTGAACACAGAGAAGTGGAGAGCACAAATGCATTGTTACCCTGGGCGTCGCCAGGACAAATGCCCTTTGAAATCTATGCTGCAGTTGGGTCTCCTGATGCAGTCCTTGTGAAAACTGAACGGAATGTCCTATCATGCAGGTGATTTGGAATTTCAGAGTCCAGGCCTTCCAGGTCTTGAAGAAATGATAGCTTTAAGAAGGGTCAGAGCAATCAAGACATTAATTTTAAATCTTGCTCAACTATGTGTATGTTTGAAAGCCTGTTACCACCTCTGCATCCGCAGAGGTTGGGGAATGTCAGCAGGAATAAATAGACTTTTCTTGAAAGTTGCTAGATGTCAGTGCTAAGCCTGTGACCCGGGGTAATTCCTCTGGACTATAAACATCTGGAGGACAGGAATGGTGCTTAGTCTTTTCTGCTTCTTTCAGCACCTATTTTCAAAATACTGAAAACACCTAAGTCAGCGTGTTCAGCATTTTGTCTACAGCAGGATTTTAATAAATGGTAAAGACTTTACATTGAAAAAAATCTTATAGCACTTCCTCAGAGGCAGAGCTAATAAAATTATCCTGGGAGTGCTTAGGAAGGGGCATACTTCTGAGTTATATTCAGTACACGTTGCATGGATGAATGAATGAAGGAAGGAATGAATGAACTAACAAATGAATGCTAAGCTCACAAACATTTTACTTATTTTCTATAACTGCCACAAGTGCAATGTAATCCTTAAGTTCATCAATTCAGAAGACTATGCCACTCAAAGGTACATCTACAGTACATTTTATTTTCAAAATAGAGATGGTTCTAAATTAAGATGTTTTTTAAAAATATAACTTTAGATGTACCTTTGAGTGGCATAGTCTTCTGAATTTATGAACTTAAGGATTATATTGCATTTGTGGCAGTTATAGAAAATAAGTAAAATGTTTGTGAGCTTAGCATTCATTTGTTAGTTCATTCATTCATTCATCCATACAACGTGTACTGAATATCAGAGATATTCAACCATCCAAAAGTAAGGATAGATATGGATGAGAGTGATTTAGATTAGCCGTCTGTTCACCCTCTGTCTCAAGTTTGTTTGGGGGGCTGATGAGAAGACCGAGGAGCCTTACCACTGGAGGGAAATAATAGCAAGAGGCAATAAAGGACCTCAGTAACATTTTTGTCTGTACTTTCATGTGACTCTCATCCTATTCTTTCTCGTAGTGCTAGTTGCCTTGGATATCTAACTGCTTTCTCTGCTTAACTAGATTATTTGGCTTTTTGAAGGCAGGAGGAAAATCGGGTATTATGTTTTGCATTTTCCTCCCAGCCCCTTTACAAATCCTTCCATAAAGGACATTTGTTGGGCTAGTAGCTGAGGCAGGGTAAGATCAGACCATCAAGAAAGAGTCTTTATGAGGCCAGCACCACCCGAAGCCACTGCAGCGCACAACTATAGGCACAGGA